GTGAAACAGATCACCAGCCCAGGTTGGATGCATGAGACAAGTGCTCGGGCCTGGTGCACTGGGAAGACCCAGAGGAATCGGGTGGAGAGGGAGGTGGGAGGGGGGATCAGGATGGGGAATACATGTAACTCCATGGCTGATTCATGTCAACGTATGACAAAACCCACTGCAATGTTGTGAAGTAATTAGCCTCCAACTAATAAAAATAAATGAAAAGAAGGAAAAAAAAAAAAGAATCTACCTTCCAGTGTAGGGGATATGGGTTTAATCCCTGGTCTGAGAACTAAGATTCCACATGCTCTGGGGAAACTAAGCCCACATCACAACTAAGCCAAGACGTGGCGACTACTGAGCCTGTGCCCTTTAGAGCCTGCATGCCACAACTAGACAGCTTTGTGCATGCCACAACGAATAGCCCAGGCAGCAAATAAACTAAAACAAAAACAAACAAAAGATCATCCCTTGGTGGGGTGCTTTCACCAAAACATGTAAAACCATGATGACTTTGTTGGTTTTTCCATGAACTTGCCCAGTCTCCTTATCTTTAGTCTGGTAAATTTGGTAAAAATAAAATAATGACCTCATTCTAGGTCCCAATGTGGCCTTACAGAATAGTGAATAAACCTGAGGAACTGACCAGCCATAAGTGGCATGGAATCCTAATTTTGTCACTTCCTAAACTATGACTTGCACAGCTGACACCTTCTCTTCACACTAGTTTCCTCATTTGAAAACTGCAGACAATAAAACCTTACTTAAAGAACTGAAGTCAGAGTTAGAAATAATACATGTAAAAATGCATGGTAGATAGAAGAATGGGATATGACAGGTTTAATTATTAAAAATAATCAACTATGTACCTCACTGTTTAACATACTTGTCTTTCTATAACACATGCATACCAAACACAACAATGATGACAATGCACTGGCTGCCACTGTGTAAAAACAAAGAGAAACTTACTGGTCAATGTTGTTAGTATGGAAATAATTATTCATGTACATTTAAAAATTTTTCAGTGAAGACTGTTTAGGTGACTACATATATTGTTATATGAATTCACTCTTGGCAAATGAGGCAGAGAAGATGGAAACTATTAATTTATTTAAGCAAAAATGTGCCAACCTATGCTACCTGAGGGAAAAAAAGGCAGAATCTTTTTTTTTTAAATGCTGGGAATGGTAGAAAGTTTCAGATCATTTTTCTCTAGGTTGTATTCTGAATGTTTTCATGAAGGTGGCCTTTCAGCTGGTAGGAATTTCAGTAGGGGAGATGAGGATGACAGTGCTACAGATAGAAGGACAAATACAAGTCAAACACTGAAATATAAAAGCACAATGTATTAACTGGGGACAAAGTAATTTGGGTTGGCTAAAGCATTTTTCCCCAACCCAGGGACTTGAGAATTATTGAAAATGATCCACAAATATTTACATAGTAGGCATTGTTTGTGGACAGAATAAGTATCAAACATATTTATGTTGTATGTAGGTATACTAGTTTCCTAGGTTTGCTGTGGCAAAATATCATAAAATATGTGGTTTAAAACAACTGAAATTTATTCCCTCCCAGTTCTGGAGTTTAGAAGTAGCAAGGTATCAGAAGGGTCACGCTTTTTCTGAAGGCTCTAAAGATGAATCTTTCCTAGTTATAATGAGGTTATAACTCCAGTATAACTTCCTCTGAACTTGATTACATTTGCAATGGCCTTATTTCCAAACAAGGTCACATTCCCAGGTACTAAGGGTAGGATTTAAACATATCTTTTTGAGAGACACAATGCAACCCACATGTGTGTGTTTCAATTATATGTAGATGTTACAATTTTTTAAATGCGAACATTTTTAAATAGCATATTAAATTGTTAATATGTTTACCATACTTTTCTCAATCAATGGATATTAAAAAGGTAAGTCTCAGGCAGGAGTTTAAGAGTCTGTAAATTTAACGATGAAAAGAGTTGCACACATGCAAAGAGGTTGGGAGCCACTGTTAGAGGGTTCCTGTCAGGAACAGAATGAGGTAAAATAAGAAATAAGCTAAAGTCAAGTATGAAGGGTCTTTGGTACCAAGATAAGGACTCTGGGTTTAATTTGTTAGGCAAAAAGGATTACGTGATTTTTTGACTTTTTTTTGGTTTGTTTTTTTCTTCTACATGTATGCGTGTAGAAGATAATATGATAAAAACACTTAAAATTCTGAACCACATCAATCTGTCCATCAAGGTAGAGCTCTAGGAAAATTACCTGTGTATATAATGCACTGAAGAAGAGTGAGTGTGGACACAAGGGGACCAGGTATGAAGTGAGCAGGATCTCACTCGAATGAAGAATGAAATGCATGCTAGACAAACTGCCAAAGAAGAATGCGTAGAGGTATGGCTAATCTGATGTTGAGTATGTATGTGTGTGCATCTATATGTAGATTTCTGTGGATGTTTAAGGGCATATATGAACATTAGGGTGTTTGCATGGCTAGTTCTTTTGAAATTCAAGTACTTATTATTTCTGTTTGATATTTTTAATGTGTTGACTCACTGATTAACTTTCCATGCATAAACACAGTATTTCTCTAAAGGGAAAGTTGAAAATATCCATCTAACTAGTTTACTTTCTTGCACACAGTAGGTGCTCAGATATCTGTTGGCTGGTAAGCATCATTTTAGCCATCCCCAAACTAGGTCAGACTTATTGACACATATTGAATTGCTATGTGTCTGTTTTCTATTTAGGATTAAAAGTAATGGAGTGAAAAGGTAGAACTAATAATAGCTAGAAGTTTAAGTTTGGTGAAGAAATTGTAAATAGGAATCCAGCTAGTCTAAATGGATTCAAGTCCCCAAGGCAGGACAAATTATATCCATTGATCCTGAAAGAATCTGAAAACTAGATCACTGAGCAACTCTCAAACATCTTTGAGGAGTTGTAGAAAAGGAGATGTGCCAGAGGATTAAAGCACCAAAACGAGAAGGAGGAGACAAATTCTTGAAAATCCATAGCAAGTAGTTTAATACTACCTGTAGGTGAGATTATGGAATGACTCATTCATTAGAAAGAGAGCAGTAAGTCCCATTATCATATCAAAAACATTTTCTTATTTGTGAAATAGATGCTGGAAAAATTGATATAATTAGGGTTAGGGTTAGGGTTAGGTTATAGGTTATCTATAATTGCAGATAATAAATCTATGTATTTTTACTTTAATTTTGCTTTACTTTTTAAATTTTTAATTAATTAAATTAATTAATTTTTAATTTAAATTTTACTTTAATTTTGCTCAGATAGAGTGTATCCACACTTCAACTAACTAGTTGTCAAGGTCCCTTAAGATATTCTTTTGGACAAGTTAGAGAAATATGGCCTGTTTTCCAGCACAGGATGGTAGCTATTTAATAATTGAAGGATTATGCCAAACAGGTGTTTATATACAACTTAAATCAGTGTTTTACAAGCTTTTTGACAATGACCTTCAGTAAGAAATAGATTTTTCATATTATCCAGTAAGCATACATGTATGTAGTATGCGCACAAGTATAATTTAAAAAATGGATGCACTGTCATGTTTTTCAGTCTATATTTTTCTATTATATTTTATTAAGAAAACTGCTGGTTATAACCTAATAAATCTGTTTCATGACTCACCACTGGCTTGGGAGGTACAGTTTGAAAAATGTGATTTCAATCAGAATGTTTCTAGGAACTACAGAGCTGTTTTTATCCTGTTTGATAAAATATTTGGATGAAGACATAGAAGGACTGTTCTCAGATTTGCAGATAATAAGATAATAAAAAGAAGAAGACAATTTTTTTTGCATGATATAATCAGGATTAAGAAATTCCTAGCATATTAAATTTAAATAGAAAATTAAATAGAAAATTTAAATAAAATAAAATTAAATCTAAAAGAGATATGTACAGTTCTGCACTTGACATCTCCAAATCTACTTGCAAAGCTACTACTGGATATGTGCTGCTGCCTAGAAGCAGAATGGCTAGAAACAAAACAAAACAACAATAAAACAGAACTCTGCTGTTTCAGTTCACAGTAATTTTAAGATAAGAAGGGAATGGAAGCAAAATTGTTTGCTACACATCAAGTATGAATCACTGTGCATTACATGAACCACTGGTGTTATATTGCTGGAAAACCCAGAACCAAACCAAACCAAAGCAAACTAATTCAACTTTGGGATACATTAACAGAAAATCTGTTTCTAAAGATGGAGGTTCAGGGTAAGAGTTCCCCTCTGTTTTATACTGTTTAAATTCAACTAGGATTTGGAGTACTTTGTTCATAAAACTTAGAGGAAAGCAAGAAATTTGCTTTTTAAAGGACAGCTGAAGGGAATGGGAACATTTAGCCTAGCCAACTGCTGTTTTCATTTGTTTTCTCTGGTCACATATAAGGTGCAGGAGACACACAAATAATTACAGTGTAGTGTTTTCTCACAGCCAGAGAAAGGAAACATTATTTATTGATACTTGCTACTATGTTAAATACCTTAAATGTATTAGCTCCTTTCATCCTTTAATCCTATTAATCTCTACTTTGTGTTGGGTAAAATAGGGCTTTGAAGAGAAGTCATTTGCCCAAGATCACATGGATAAGTGGGTAGTGAAACTGGCATCCGAACCCAGGTTCTACTGAGTCTGGAACCTTTGTTCGCAACCACTACATAGTATTGCCTCTTGAAAATCAGAGCTTCATGGGCTTATCTTTGAAGGACTGTTCTTTGGAAGTATGGATATGCATCTATTAAAGCATAAATCCATACACAATTGACATTTACTACATAAAATGTTTTTAATCTGGAGACTTAAAAATGAACATTATAGGTAATCTCTCTTATATTTCAAAATACTGTTAATGCAAGTGTTAGTGTTTTTGCTAGAAAGAGGCTTTGTTGACTATAAAGAAACAGAACTGCTTGAATTTTCAAAACTTTATGTTTCAAAGGGCAGTACTGAAACTACAGTACATGTAACTGCAATTATAAAGACTTGCTTGTGGTTATAATTGTTCTTACAAGTGTTTATAGGTAATTCAACACAGATTGTTCCTGTATACCAAGGGTACAAGGACATATTTACTATATGCTGGCTGCTAAGTTGAAATTATTTCATTGAATTCTCACTCCCTGTGGGATAGATATTCTCACCCCTATTAGTGAATAGAAGACTGAGTTCAATAACTTGAGGAGACTGCACAGGTGGTTAGTTGTGAGTGTGGTTCAAAGGCCTGTGTACTTTCCATCATACCACACTGACTTCAAGGAGCTGCCAGAGAACTGGTGAACGCTTTTTAAAGTCTAAAAGTAGCAAGAGGTAGAACCTGCTGTCATACTGAACAGTGGGGTAAAAAGAAGCTAGTGTGATGACCTTTCAATCTGGATTTACAGATGTAAGATAGATATATCATTTTAAACTTGCACATGAAAATAGTGCTTGCAAAAGTAGATGCTATTCACTTGGGACAGATAAAAGGCAAAAGGTGGATATACGTCACAGGATTCTTCTATGGCAGCATATCTAAGTCACACTATTAAGACCTAGAGGTCACTTTCAATCTTTCTAACATTTTATAATTCACTTGCTATTCAATTTATATGGACATACCAATCACTATTTCTTTCAGAAATTTTTGCTGAGCTATTATAATAATTCAATTACTTCAGGAAAAGTTTAAACAGAAGCACACAATCAAGGACTAATCCAAGCACCGGTCTTGAGGACATACATGACATACATGACTTATGGCACGTCAAAATTTTAATGCATCCCAATATCCTAGGAGTTAACTTGACTAGCCAATCCAATTAAACATAAGCACTAACAAACCAGATAATGACAGATTTGTATATTGACTATTTTCAATTGAGATGACAGTTAAAATGATTTGAATATACTTCAAGATACCTAATAGCTAAAATGATTTGAATATACCTCAAGATACCTAATAGTTCTGGTGTCTGACAATATATTGAAAAGGGTTTACCTCATGAAATATTTTTAAAAAATTACATCCTTCATTTCGAGATAAACACTAGTCCTGCCTATTTAGTTTTAATTCGACACGAGCGGCAAGTCTATTGTGTACATTTTAAGAAGTAAAACTTTTTTTTTCCATTCTCTATACGTGAAGACGCAGAAATCTATTACTTTAACCACAGATTAAGACTGGCAGAGAATTACTTATATTTTAAGATAATTCTCAAATCCTCTGAACTGTACATGCCTAACAAAAAGGGGCACATCATTAGTTGGCATCATACCTGACGATCGTTAAGGATTTTTTAAATGTGGGATTTGTCGCTCCCACCAACCTACTACCCCAAAGTGTCACAAGGTGCAGCCTTTTTAGTCAGGGAGGTGAGTTCAAGAACTGTTTGTTGTTTAGAGCTCCATCCAGAGAGGATCACTGTTTGACAAGTTCTATTTTAAGTCGTGCCTGTGTGTGCAGGTGTCAGCCTCTTTGATGACTGTAGAAAAAGACCCATTATACTCCATCTGTATCCTTCCCCGACAATGCAGGATTATTCCCCACAGTGCGTTCGTTTCTGCTTTGCCAGCCACTTTTTGTCACTGGGAAATTCCAAGGCGGGCAGGCGGACAGGACTGAGGGAAGGGCCTGAGGGGGCAGAAAGAGGTCGTCTGCCACTCCCCTACCTTACAAGGCACGTGGCACTGGCTGTAGCAGCTGCTGGATGCGACGACGAAGATGACGAACCTCCTCCTCGCAAGAGGATAGTCAGGGAATAAGGAGGTGGCAGCGAAGGCGAGACACACACTCGGTGTCCTTCCCCACAGGGAGAGTCCACCCTCAAGGGAAAAACTCTGAGGAAACCACCACCCGCCCCGCCTCTGCCAGCTCGCCCCAGTGTCTGGCAGCGGTCCCCATGCACCTGCTCACCTGTCTATCCGTTCGGGGCGGTTGGGGGAGGGACGAGGGGTGTCGGGCTGGGTGGGTAGAAGGGGAAGGAGGGCAGGGCGAAAAGAGGGGGTGCACGAGGGCTCCGCCCCCCTGAGGCTCTGCGCAGGCGCAGTGGCCGCTACCGCAGGCAGGGGGCGGCAACATGGCGGAGTGAGCGGCGGCGTCGGGGCTTCACAACAACAGTGGCGCCTGTAGCAGCGGCGGCAGCGGCGTCAGTCACAGATCTGAGCTTCAGCGCCGGCCAGCGCCGCGGGCAGCTGCTCGCGCCCCAGGGTTATTCCGAGCGGCGGCAGCATCTCCGCGGGGGGCGGGCCGGGCCGGACGGACTGGGAGGGGGAGCGTGAGGAGGCAGCGGCGGCGGCAGCGGCACAGCTGCTGGGCGGGCACTGCCGCTCGCCGGGCAGCGGTTAGCGGCGCCGCCAGCGCCGGGAATAAGCCTGAGAATAACCCACCGCCTCCGCCGGGGAGGGCGTCGGAGCGGGCCGGGTCGAGGCGCAGGCGGGGAGCGGGCCCGGCGCCGCGGCGCTGGTGGATGCTGGGGCTCCGAGGCGACGGCCGGGGGGCGGGGGCCGAGGCAGGTATAACGGTACCGGCGGCGGCGGCGCCTCGGCTCTTCCCTTCTCGTCAGGAGGGGGGCAAATGGCGAGCGAGAAGCCGGGCCCGGGCCCGGGGCTCGAGCCTCAGCCCGTGGGGCTCATCGCCGTCGGGGCCGGCGGCGGAGGCGGCGGGGGCAGCGGCGGCGGGGGCAGCGGGATGGGGGAGTTGAGGGGGGCGTCCGGCTCCGGCTCGGTGGTGCTGCCCGCGGGGATGATTAACCCTTCGGTGCCGATCCGCAACATCCGGATGAAATTCGCAGTGTTGATTGGACTCATACAGGTCGGAGAGGTCAGCAACAGGGACATCGTGGAGACGGTGCTCAACCTGGTAAGGGGAAAGGCGTGCTCGCCATCTGCCTCCCAGGCCCCCCCCCCCCCCGGCCTGCTTCCCTCCCTAGGCGCTGGCTCCCACCCCTGTACCCCCCTCCCCGGGTCCCGCACGCAGCGTGTCCCCGCGAGGACAGATCGTCCAGCGGGTATCGCCCAGCGGGTATCGCCCAGCGGGTGACCTGCCTGCGCGCTGCCAGAGCCACGCCACCTCCCCGTTCTCTCCCCCGGTCCTCTCCTGCCACCGAGCGCAGTGCCCAACTTAACACCGCCTAGGATCACTTCTCGTGACTGCGAGTCGTCAGTCGTCCCTGGCCGTGCAGGGTTTGGGTCTTCTTGAGAGTTTATGGTCACGGGGAGAGGAAGGCCTCCTTTTCTCTGGAGTCCTTCCTGCCACACTCTTATAATTGTCGGTGCGGTGGCTCTCCAAGGATGGAAGCCTTGCCCCTGGAGCCTAAATTCCCCGGTGCTCCTGAAACGTGAGAAGCACGTTAGCTCCCACTTGAGCTGCTGGGGTGTGATGTTTTCGAACGAGGAGGAAAATGATGCAGTTTTGCATCTGCCTTTAAATATATTCCCAGACTGTGCGGGGAGAGTGTTGTGGCTGTTTCTCCTCCCCAGCCGCCTCCCCCCCCCCCCCCCCCCCCCCCCCCCCCCCCCCCCCCCCCCCCCGCATCTCTTTTTAGGTAGGCTTTCTTTCTTTGTAATATGGCCCTGAATGTACTGACCTCGTAGTCATTTTTGTGTGTGTGTGCACATGAGGTGTTAAAATGTGGGGGCACCTAATCATACAGGTTGGTTTCTATGATTGCCTTCAGAGGGCGTCGCATGTGGCTAAAGGCGAGAGGAAAGGTGTTAAATTCAGTCCTAGGTTTGGTTTCTTATATGATAAGAAAGAGTTACTGCAGAACTGTGTATGACTTAATGTTTGGCGATATCTATCTACGGAGAGGCTAAGAATCTTCAAGATGTCAGGGGAAGACATGGGGACGAACTAAAGCGAGGAGAACCATAGATTTCGGATAATAAGACTAGTTCATTTAAGATTAGTTCTTTTTTTTTTTTTTTTAATGCCTTGTAAGTGCAGTTTTTGCTGCAGCACAGCTTTTTAAACAGTTTCTTCTGCAATATTTAGCCTTTGACAAAATGTCAGGTTGGGTTTTGGAAGGCAAGGCTTAAATCAGCAGCAATCAGTTGACTATTGTATTTGATGTGGAGTCAAAGGAATATAAAAATATGCTTGTAAAGAGATTTGATAACACCCATGCAGTCAGAATTTTCAGCTAGGCAATTATTTTTATTTGATCCATTGGGAAACTGAAAGAAAGCAGCAGCTGCAGCAGTGGTGCCCTAAGACAGGGGTTAGATAATGTCTATGGCACATGTGCCTCTTAAATGTACAGAAAAGTTAAAGCTATTGGGTTTTTTGTTTGTTTGTTTTTGTTTTTTTCTTGCTGGAGTGTCAAGTGAAAGATAGGAAAATATCTGACTTTTCTTTGTTATATTTATTACTGTTTAAGTACCAAACATTTCTTTGTGCTTTTGTATACCCTTCAAACAAATCACCACAAAAAAGTCAGTATAAGTTTGGGGGACTGTCACTTCCTTGGTATAACCAAATTCTTTTCAAAACACTAATAGAAATACTGTTTTCTTGGACATTTTAATTTTAACCAGCAGCCAATAGGAGGTCAGTACTTGTCTTTTTTTTTTTTTTTTAAGAGATGAAATCTCAAAATATGTTAGTAGGTTAGCAGGTACTGTTTTTTTGTAAATTTAAAAGAAAACATTAAAGTTTTTTGTTTTATTTTAACAGTTTTCTGATACCATTTTTACCTTAGATGATGTGATTTTAGGTTATTTTAAGAAGTATTTATATGCTTACCTAATACATTTTTCTGTGAGAAGAGGCAACAGAGACTGTTACAAGCTGGAAACTGATTTGAATGTGTAACCAGTTTGGACTCTGCAGCAGTAGCAATGTATGCTGGATCAGTTCTTAACAGATGGGGTTCTATAGATATACATTAGGTTAAGAAAGGAAGTGAAATATTCCTGTTGAGGTAAAAAAGAATTTTAACTATTTTCAGTGCACTGAAAGTCTTCACTGGCATGAAGTCTCCGTATGCAAACATTATTAAAGATTAACTTTACTGGTAAGCTTAATTAGAGTAACCAGAAATAAGGTAATACTGACATGCTGCTGCATCCCCAAATCCACTTAAGATGTAACTGCGTTGGTTTTTGGCATTAAAAAGTCAAGTTTAAAATTTCTTTGTACATACTTAAAGAGTACAATTGATGGAAACTTTTGGGGAAAAGAATGACAAAACCACTTATTTACTATTAAGTTGTTGAGTGTATTGATTGTGGAATGCACATTAGTCATGTGCAGCGTAATATTTCTTGAATGGAAGGTTTAGTGCTTTATCTTTCCCATATACTCATGATGAAAGTGTCATGTGAAAATTTATATTGATTGAGAAAATATTTGGAGATCATAAGCGTTTAAAAATAATCATCAAAACTTAATTCTATTTACTTAATGAGTGTATCAGTAAAATTGATTTAGGGCTCTCTGTGACCTGCTAAAGGTTGGAAGCTTCTAATATCTCTTAAAATGAGTTTTTTGTTTTTTGTTGTTTTTTTTTTTAGTTTTCCATCTTAATTTAAAACATTAAATTAAAATGTAGTTGGGAATAATGGAATATGTATCACAGTACTTTCCATGACAGAAAAGAAAGGAAGAAATACTAATGAAACTTCAAAACAAAAGAGTTGCTGCTTTAAAACCCTGTCTCAGCCACCTTTGTCAAAATATTTTTTTCCCTGTATATTCTTTTTCTTTATATGGTGAAACTACGAATACTTGGTTTTTAGGTTTCTCACATACCTTACCCAAAGAATTAAAAGTTTTACAGAGCAAAGTTGAAGTATACACTAAAATATAAGACTAGTTTAATACAGCCATGGTTATAATTTGGGGTCCTTTTTTGGCCAGAGGTAGAGGTCCATTTCCACTGTTGGGTGGATTATGGGAATTTGTTGAAGAATCACCAATGGAATGAGAAATAAAATGAGTAATTTCCATTGTAGATGAATGTATTTGTATGATGATATTATAGTTCACTTGAAACATTCAAATATGAGATGCATAGGATCAGGGATATGAGTAAGTTAATTTGTAAATAAATTACAGTGAGAGTATATTGTCAAGGATTTTGCATTACAGCTTTACCAATGAAAAAAACTGATCATCGACAAAGTTTGGCTTTGGGAGGTATTATTTAATGTGGCAGAATAAGAGCACTTAACTATAGAAAAGAAATTTTGTTGGTTGTTTCAATTATAAAACAGGCATACTAGGCATACTACTTAATCCATTGCTTACTTTGTAAAGACAGTATATGTTTATACAAGGTTTTTACTTCCTTCAAGTAAATTCTGTGTATACATAACATGTTCTCTGTTTATAACATGAAAGTATCTTATCATAGATTTTAATATAAACATTTTTAGAACAGATAAAATACAACATTAATGTTTACTTAATTCACAATAGGGTTTTTTTTGGAATTGCTGTCTTAGGTAGTATAAATCTACAGCATTTGATTTTTTTCACAAATCATGCAATATACTAGTGTATCTTTAATGGTAGAAAACATTTCCTTTGATAATTTTCTTTTACATTCTAAGTGGTATACTGTATATTATATTAAAAGTATAACAAGATACTATGAGGGGATTTTATGTGCTAAGTTCCTCTCTACTCTTGATATATGGATTGTGGTATTATTGTTAAAAAGAAATTTAAAAGGTTTTCCCTTCTGTACTTCAATGTGACAGTGACTTTTCTTCCTTAGATTTTTTTTCATCTTCAGCCTCATAATCAGAATAATTTATATTTTGAAGATATTTAAAATTTCATGAACAAAAGATGTGTTCTGCTTATGAACTAAATTTCTTTTAAAAATATGTAGTTGGATTTTTGAGTCATGGAAGTCCTTAATATCAACAGAACCACATTTATTTATATTAAAATAGAATATCCTTCATTTTATGTTCATATGTAAGTCCTTTCACATTAATTTGAATTATATTTTATTCTTATTATTAGGTATTGAAAACTAAATTGAGTGTGTATGTAAATATTGGGAATTTCAATATCCTGAAGAGTTCTGAGGTTTTCCTTTAAAGTATTAATTTAGTCATGTTAATACAACTAACCACTAAGTAGCATGTGTTCTATGAGTTTGTGATCAAGTTATAGCAATTTTAAATAAGTATTTCTTACATTGCTAGTCAGTTTTTGGCAAATACTTTGTGGTTAACTAAATGTATCTCAAGGTTCCCTCATCTTTTGCTGTACATTCTCCAAATACAGTGTCAAATTTATTGGTTCCAGCAAACTCAACTTCCATTTTGGACCAAGGATGTGGCAGTATTGTAAAATTAAGTTATCCACATTTTTGATTATTTACTTTAATAGTAGTTTGCATCAGTTTCATAGGTTTTTTCATTTATTGCCTCTACTTGTGATATTTCATGCAGTGTCAGCATATCTCCTTATTTTACAAAGATATAACCATCATTTTCTAGTTTTGTGTATGGTATTTAGTCTCTAGTTATTGTTTCATTTCCTATACTGTGAACTCTGTGAGGGCAGAAGGCTATATTATGTATACTTTTATTTTATTTTATTTGTATTTCTGGCTCTTGGATAAGTTAGGTGAATTTCGAGAATGTACAGGACACTGTTATTAGGCAGTAGAGGGCAAGATTCTGAAATTCTGTTCAGCAGTAGGGTCCAGATCCAAGATCTTGAAATAAATGACTCATATAAAGTTAACATATTCCCTGTTCTTACAATTAGAAATATTTGTTGACTATATATGAATGTTTTCTGTGTAGGGTATTACTATATAGTAAATATTATTTTGAGCTGGTGTCTTAGAATAAATAAGAATCTGTTGATTGTTTTTCAGTATATATTGTCAGATA